ACACACACACACACACACACACACACACACACACACACACAAAGGGGGTCCGAAAGGGGGTCTGAAATCCCCCGACAGGTGAGTGCGCTGGGGGGGCCCGGCCCCCAACCGGGACCTCCCCCGGGCCCGCCCGGGACCTCCGCCGGGCCCCTGCTGGTCACCTGGGCGGCCCGGATCCCCACTCAGACAAACTATTTTTCTTTTTCTTTTTCTCAAACCAGACAACCTATTGCAATCAGACTCGTTCGCAAACACACTTTTCATGCATGTAAACAGCAACGCAGCAACTGGCGACATGCGCCCACACAAAACTCAGAGATATGGCTTCCAGGTACGAGTTCACTCTCAACTGGCTATGGCGACTTCAGCGCCCAAACAACTCACTGTTCACACACCGGACCACCCTGGATATCCCACGCGCATCACTTTGAACACTCGTACACACACACACACACAGTTCCTACTAACTACCGCTATGGCAGCTATGGCTGCCTCTAACCTATCGCTATACTAATCTCCTTCTCTCTCGCCCACTGCCTCCTCCGGGCTCATCTGCAGACCTCCTTGCACAAGTCGTTGTGGCAGCGCTTCCGCATGGCTCACGCAGGAATCAATGAATGGCTGGGCATCGCCTCTTGATTTATACTTCAGAAACTCGTTGGTCTGCCCTTTGCCATCGGCCCATGGTGCTCACAGTCCCCCCGTGGTACTTGCTGGACCAGACTGGGACTGACTGGACCTTTCGCTGACTGACTGTGGACTGACCGCTATCCTACCGACGTCGTATTGCTATTGCATTGCAGTTTAGTCCACCACTTGCCTCGCCACTTGACCACTTGCCCACTTGCCTACCTTCTAGAAGGTCTACAACTAGGCTTCCGGAACTTCACTAAGACTTCTACGCTATAGACCTACAGATCGAACCCCTGCTGCCTATGGTCCTACGACAGACCTACCAACTGTCTACGAATACACAGGTTACAGGTTCAACTCTCGGGGTCTACACAGATACTGTACATGGGTAGGGTGAGGTCTAGGAATCGAACCCTGGGTACTGCATCCGATACTGCTAAWAGGTGAAAACCGTTTCACTCCCGCCGTCCTAAATTCGAGGTCCTCCGAGAACATTTCAGTCCAAGGCGGGACCTTTACCTTTCTTGTTACGCTTATAGGCTCTGACTATGTCAGGAGCGGTCTCTAGAAGTTCTGTTTTCGTGAACCAGCGGTCGTCTTCCGGTTCCTGATAGGCAAACCGGACTTTATACTGTTTCTGGGGATGACCTCTACCTCCTGTCCTAAACACATCCTCGTCTACAATGCCCTCTATGTCATAGCTCCCATCCATATCCGGTGGGATCATGGATCTTCTGGAAGGGAACTGTTGGCTTGTAACACATGGCAACAACTTTGAAGCATGGAACACAGGATATGTGTGGAGGTGTACTGGGATCTCTATAGTGTATGATGGCCCATCCTCTCCGCCTTTGACTTCTAGAACTGGCCACGGTCCTCTATATGCAGGCAGTAACTTCTGCGAGATGTTTTCTTCAGGCGCAAACTCTTTTGTCTTGACCCAGACTACTTGAAACTGTGATGGGCGTCGGTGCTTATTAGCCTGTTCTATCATCCTATGCTGGGCCTTGCGGAGGTTCTCAACAACAGTGGCTAATTCCTTTTCGTGCTGTATCGCAAACTCCCTGGTACCGGGCGGTAGTCTGTGAATCTGATCCCGGTTCAATCCTTCAAATGGTCTGCGCGGTCTAAAGGACTTGTGTAGTTCGTTGGGAGTACGACAGGTGGACAGATGCACGCTGTTGTTGTATGCACTAGCTACCTTAGGCAACATCGCATCCCGGTTAATCTGATCTGGTCTAATATACATGCGCAAAACTCGTTGTAGGATCTTATTCATCTGTTCAGTCTAACCGTTAGTGTCCGGGTGGCGGCCAGACAACATCAACAACTTAGATCCATAGACTCTCATGAGTTCTTGCCAGTTCTGGCTGGTGAAGCGACTATCTCTATCGCTGACTATTGACAATGGGATTCCATTCTTGCTAACCCAAAAGTCAAAGAACTTCTGTATCACTAAATATGTACGTGCCTCTGCAGGCAAAGGAACAAAGATTGCATACTTACTAAAACGGTCAACTATAACCATGACTTAGCTCTTACCATGTCTGCTCTTGACTTGGGTGTCCATGAARTCTATGGACACTGAGTCTCCCGGCTGATCCGGAATAGGCAAGGTTCTGAGAAGACCAAGGGATGCGCGCGTAGTAGTCTTATGACGCTGGCATACTTTACAACTGCGGACATACTTTATGCAGTCATTCTTCATTCCTGGCCAGGTATACACACGCATCGGATTGGCTAGAGTCTTTTGCCAACCGAAATGTCCCTGTGTATCATGGCATTCCCCTAGGATCAAACTATGGATCTCTTCACTGTTGGGAATGCACAAACGGTCAAATACGTTAGTCTTCTCAAACAACAATCCGCCCGTAGTGCGGTAATCTGGCTCAGTCTCTGGGGCCTCTCTGACTCTTTTTAGGAGGTCGCTATAGATAGGGTCCTCCGCATACGCTTGCTTCACTTTCTCCTGCAGGTCTCTCCCTATATCCAGATAGTGTACTATGGCTCCAAAGTAGTCTGATCTCCTACTCAGAGCATCCGCAACTACATTGTACTTGCCTTTCACTGGCTTAAGCTCAAAGTCATATTGATCTATCTCTGCGACCCACCTAGTTAGCTTAGGTGTCATCTTGGCCTGGGTCTTCAACCATCTAAGGGTCTCATGATCAGAATACACTTTGAAGTGCCTCCCAAGCAAGTAATGCTTCAAGTGCTCTAGAGCCTGCCTGAGAGCGTAGAGTTCTCTCTCGTACGTGGAGGTGGCTACCTTCTCTGAGGGCATCCTCGCGGACATGAACTCTACGGGTCTATAGCCATGGCCGTCATCCTGCTGCAACACGACGCCTATCCCATATTGACTCGCGTCCGTGGTGACGACAAATGGCAAGGACGGATCTACAACTTTGAGGACAAGGTACTCTATTAACGCGCGCTTTAACTTCTTGAGCGCAGACGTACAGTCCTTGTCCCATTGCCAGATTGCCTCCTTCTTTAGCAATCGGCGCAAGGGAGCAGCGATAGTGGAGAAGTTCCTCACAAACTTCCTATAATAGTTAGCTAAGCCTAGGGAACAACCGCAACTCTGTGAATGTGCGAGGCGTCGGCCAGTCTCTAATCGCCGCGATCTTACTGTCCTCTGGCTTAATGCCATCTCCGTCCAATATGTGGCCCAAGTATAGAACTTGTGTCTTGGCCCACTCGCACTTCTTTGCGTTGATCGTGAAGTTAGCCTCTCTAAGCTTCTCCAAGACCTGCCTCAGATGACCCTGGTGCTCCTGGAGGGTCTTACTAAAAACTAGGATATCATCTAGATAGACTACCACAAAGTTATCTAACCACGGTCTAAACAGGTCGTTCATACAACGCTGAAAAGTAGCTGGCGCGTTGGTTAGTCCAAAGGGCATCACTATGAACTCATAGTGCCCGTATCTAGTCCGGAACGTGGTCTTGTACTGGTCATCAGGATGAACCTCTATCTGATGGTATCCAGACTTTAAGTCTATCTTAGAGAAATACTTGCAACCCTGCACCCGATCTAAGAGATCGTCTATCCTGGGCAGTGGCTCAGCATTCTTCACTGTGATAGCATTCAAACCCCTATAGTCTATACACATTCTCAACTCTCCTTCCTTCTTGGGGACAAACAAGACTAGTGCTCCAAAAGGAGACGAACTGGGCCTGATCCAACCTTTCTCTAGGAGCTCATCTAACTGCTTGCGCAGCTCCTCTAACTCTCTAGGGGACATTCTGTAGACTGCACCCTTAGGAGTTCTACTGCCAGGCTTGATCTCTATCCTGTGCTGGATGGGTCGCGGCACTACTCCTGTCGGCGACTCGGTCAAATCTTTAAACTCTTCCAGTAGCTTGGCAATTGTTGGATTTGTGGAACTATCCTTTTCCTTGGCCTCAGTGACAGGTCTAACATAAACTACAAAGACCTGTTCCTCCAGTTGCTCCTTTTTTACTAATCGCGCAAACGCGGGAGCACTGAGACAACAATGTGCCAAGGTGTTGTCTACACCAGACACATGGAACAAGCGGACAGTCTTAACCTCGCCTGACGGACTAGGGAGCCTACACTCATGCTCTCTCAAATGGAGCGTGGCCCCTGCTGCCTCTCCCCAATCCATTCCTAAAACTACGTCAAAAGGAAGGTTATCCTGTACGAGGAGAGTCAGGGAACGGAGAACTTTCTCCACTTTCCCATTCTTCTCTAGGTGAAAGTATGCCTGGACTCCCTCTACGTAGTCCTCAACTCGCATTGTGAGGTTGTCTGCGAGGACACTAACTATGGGGTCTACTAACTTCTAGACTTTTAGTCCTARCCTCAGCTTCTTCAGCGCCCTACTGCTAATATAACTACGGGTGGCCCCTGAGTTTATAAGGGCCCCTACTCTGCTTCTAAACACCTCTACATCTACCAAGATCAGTTGTCCTTTACTCTCTTTCTTCATCTTGGCCTAGGCTGGCATCCTCTCCTTTAATTCTTCTGCCACACCTGTGAGGGACGTGCCTAAAGAGACGCTTACACAGGCGGTCTCTGGACAGCTAGCTAGGCACGGGCCTGCAACTTTTGCCATAGGCTCATGTGGGTTGGGAGTGTCCTGTTCGCATGCGCTCACTTCTCCACATGGCCTTAAAGTAGGGCCAGTTGCGACCCCTACTGGCGGCTTCCTTTTGACGACTGAGCAGCCCAACGGGCCTGTCTATACTTTGGACAAAATTTTATTACGGGAGCTGGGTCACCACAAAGCACGCACTGACCCATGTTCACGCGTTCCTGCCATAAACCCTGGTCCAAACCCAAATCTCCCCAGGGCCTGCCCTGCGGCAAGCCTGGGTGCCATCCTCCTCGAGGTGCCCTTCCACCTCGTCTTTGTGGGGACCGATTACCATGGCGATTTGGCGGGGGACCTTGACCCCTACCTCCCACTTGGCGGTTTCCCTGTCCGCCAACCCCTGTGCGCCCGGTCCACGGCCTCCCATGGCCTGGCCCCTTTGGCCCTGGCCTCCTCCTCTGCCTTGCGGCCTCCCCCCAGCCGCGACAACAACATAAAATCTCCCTTGTCCCATACTACGGTCATCATCCTCAAGTCCCCACTCTATTTGACTGTATGGGACCTCATCAGTACCACCTTCCTCTAACGTGAGGATCATGTGATCCTTGGCCTTGACTTGGCCAAAGATGGTACGACCTTTCCACTTTTTTCCCTTATCCAAGTCCTTGTGCCAAAAAGTGGTAACCGGCATGGACTTCGACTCATACAGGGTGACCTCTCTACTCAGCGCATCATAAGTGATGCCGGCCTGTTGAGATTTGTCAAAGAAGTGCCCACGCATGGCCTCTGGTATGGCACGATAAAATGACTGGACCAATTGGGTCTCAGTGACTCCATGGTCCGGGATGGCTACCAAGTCGTCCATGGTCCCCTTGAGTGCCCTGGCACTCCACTTTCGTGAGTGGATTGTTTGCAGCTTGTCAGAGGCGCGTACGCCTCTCGTTGGGTCCGCAAATCGCTCCTTCAGGAGCTTGAGGAATTGAGGAAGGGGGGTGACTTTGGAGGCGCGCGCGAGGGACCTAGCGAAACTAGCCGCTTCATCCTTGAGGGCCTGGAAGGCCACGAGGACTTGCTCCTCTGCCAGGATGTGTTGTAGATAGATGTAACTGTTGACACTGACTTCCCAGTTGTCAAAGTTCTTCCTTCTTTCCCCCGTACGCATCTGGGAACTTAAGCTTCACTGGGTCCTTACGGGGTCTGGCCTTGCCCTCTACTGCGGCTATAGCTTTGGCACCCTCAATGGCGGCTTCACAAAACTTTCCCACGCTGTCTCTCAATCTCCTAACTTCCCCTCCAACGTGGGTAACTATATCGCGCGCAAAGTCCCTAAATCTCGACCGCATGGCACCCAGGGCTACCTCTTGACTCCAACTGGCCTGGCGCTCCTCCATCCAGGCTGCACTCAATACTTCCAGGTAACCCAACATCTTATCCATCTTGGCAGAAACATTTGCGTGTGCCCCCACTTCTCGCCTACAATCTTGCACTTTCGCCACTTTCGCGGTCAACCTGTTAACTTCCTCCCTCCTCTTCTTCTTCTCTCTCTTCATCCTCAGCTTCCACTCCAATTTCTTCTCCTCTTCTCTTTCCCTTCGTTCCAGAGGGTCCTCCATCGCGGCTAGCTCGCTGGCCAGCGCATCCCTCTCGTCCTTTGGGTCATAGAACTCGGCCTCCTCATCTTCCCCCAACGATAAATTAGCGATCCACTCACTTATTTTTTTCTCCATCTCTACTTCTTCTTTCATTGCGCCACTGCTCTGTACTTCCTTTCCCTTTCGTTTTCTCTCCTCCTCGGCTTCTGCTGCCGCTTCTTCTTCAACAACCTTCTTCTTCTTCTCCATCTCCTCCTCCAACTCCTTCATCTTTGCCACGTGCTCCTCTGCGATAGCCTTCAACTTCGCTTGCTTCAGGAGCTCCTTCCTCTCTCTGTTTTCCTTCACTATGGCGGCCATCTTCTCTTGCTGCTCCTGGGTATAGGGGCTAGTGCTCGTCCCACCGCGGGTCTCAACCATGGTGATAAGTGCACAATCGGGTAGCGGTTCCAAACCTCACCACGTTGACTCTAACCCCTGACTGACAGACCTACTGACTCAATCTAAGGACTCACAGAATCCTGACAAGGATCTTGTCAACTATGGTCTGTAGCCTAGACCTAACTATGGCTGTCACTACTGAACCAGTGGCTGATCTGGAGGCATTTAAGGAGATCCCCCGTAATTCCKCAAGAAWTCTTTAACGTCGCAGACAGGACGACGTGATCAGCTTGGTTCTGCCTGTGCTTTCAGCCCACAACTCAGCCTTTCCGGCCTACTGTGCCACACCGAGCAGCCCGCCGGTCTGTACCGGTCCTTGGGAGGGTTCGTATCCCCCGGGACAGTCGAGTCATCAGACACAGATCCTCAGCCTTACTTGGTCCGATACGGGAGTGGTTCAAACAGGCCCTCAACACTTAAAGACTGCCTGGTGTGTTAGCCCTAACTGCCGTTCAAGCCCACCGTGTCGTACCAACCGTGTCCAGCCGGTCAGCACCAGTCCTTGGGAGGGTTATGCCCCCCTGGACAGTTGGATCTGCCACAGCCTTAGCTCTACAAGGTCAGACTAGGGTTTCGTCATCCAAGCCCTATCCTYCATCCACAGAGTGCTWTCACTTAGGACASAAGAGACTCRATGCAGAAAGAATAGACAGACTGACTGTACTCAGCAAGTACCAAGGGGTATGTGCACATCCATAGGGCAAGGGGTAGGCTGAGGGCTTGGCGAGATGTTACCAACTCCAGCTTGGTCAAAGTCTTGGTCAACGGCCTTGGTCAACGCCGGTCAACGCTGCGGTCAACCCCGGTAACGCTGGTCAACACCTCCGGTCAACTCCTCTGGTCAACCCTCCGGTCAGCTATGGCTGCCAGCTCTTCTTCCTCACCAATTCCCTTCTTCTTCCTCACCTTCCTCGCCTCCTTTCACCCCACTGTCTTCTTCTTTCTCTTTCTCTTTTTTTTTTTTTTTTGATCGGCCTCTCCTTCACCTCTTGGCTATGGCCACTATCTCTCCCTTCTCGGTCTCTCCCCCTCTGTCCTTCTCCCTCCTACTTCGTCACTCCGTGGTACAGGCTCCGCGGCTATGATCGCTGTCTTCTCCTTCGTGGACTGCACAGCGCGCTTCACAGGTAAGTGACAACCAAACTTGTATCACTCATCTCCCTCTCTCTCTCTCTCTCTCTCTCTCTCTCTCTCTCCCTCTCTCTCTCTCTCTCTCTCTCTCTCTCTCT